GCAAACGTATTATCCGCAGTGTTGGTCTTCGTTTCACTAAATAAACTGGATAAATTTTACACTGTGCCTATCCAAAATGCTACTTTATGAACTTAAAACAGTTAATTTTGTTTAATGGTAAGACTTTTTCGAAACTCATGTCGCTATATTATAATACAGCAGAATTTTTAAAAAGTCCTACCATTAAACAAAATTAATACTTTCTTTTATTCTTGCGTTGTGTTTAATTTTTGTGTGCTTGTGAATACCAGTCAGTAGGACAACTCTACGTGAGCGAGATTTATATTGCCGCTGCTGCGATGTTTTGACAACATTGACTATTAATTTGCCTTTCCCTTTAAAATCTATTTATTAACATTCTGCTTCCGCTTGTTTTCTTTTCTGTGTTTCTTTTTCGCGCTTCTGTTGTTGCTCTTGTCAACGATACTAATATCTCTTAACATATTCGGTGAGTGCTTTTATTTTGCTTTTGCTTCTAATAATTGAATAGCATTCGTAGCAATTCTATGAACAATATCTTTCGCATTTTCTGTTTTAACAACGAAATTAACTCCTGTACCACACCAAAGAGAATAGCCACCTTCTGCAGTTAGGCGAGAAAAAATACAGAAATAGACATAAACTGCTAAAACTATTGATAATGATTGATTACCTTCGTTAAATTTTTTTACTTCTCTTTTATTCACATTTGGTTGGCTTAATTCATCTTCATTATTTATCCATGGCATTGACCATTTGTCTTTCAGAGCGCGCCCTGTTATTAATATTATTTGAGAAAATATGAAACGTTTTATTTTTTTTGATTTACCGTTGACGGGTTCAGGCCACGGTGGGGGACACAAAAGATCAAAAACACGACAACGAACAGTATCTTCCTTCCTATAAAAATCGAATAATTCTTCCAAATATATTGTTGTTTAGTATGCAGTTCTTACGTTGCTTTGATAATTCTTAATTTATCTTCATCGGGAAGTGATGATTCTACGCTAGCGAGAAACCTCGTCCCCATAATAATACCACTTGCTCCCTATAATTAGCAACAATGTGTTTTATCCGGATGATTCAGCTCAGAGAGTATTGTACCATATCTAATGCTTTAATTAGTCCATTTTCGTCACCAATTCCACCCGCTGTAACCAGCGGAACAGTTTTACCTAATTCTCTTAATTTTTCCTGTAGTAATAGCAACAACGTCCACGTCGACAAGCCGCTTTGTCCATGTCCACCAGCTTCTTCCCCTTGGCATACAATAACATCACTGTACTCAGCAGCAGAAATCCCATCTGAAATAAATACTCAAACGTGATACTAACAAAACCCGACTGAAAATAAAATCAACCTTACTTACCGTGTACATTTTGTACCTGTGATATAACTTCAATTCCGGCTTGTTTTACTCTCTGTGCATATTCTTTTGCATCACCAAATGAAAAGAAGATAGCTGTTGGTTTAGCTGCTAAGACATATTCAAATGCTTGGGGAAAATACTGCAGTGCGAATGTAATAAAACCAACACCATATTTCAGTTTGGTACCATTTGAATATTTGGTATTGTTACATTGAATAACTTGTTGTTTTAACCAATGTAAAGCATTACCAGCACCACCCCCCTATTAATCCTGAAGATTTGAAGTTTTTATAGAGAACTACAGGATGTGCTTGAGATTCTTACCTAATCCACCTGCTATCCTCTTTTCTTTTTAATG